CAGCCCCCGCCCGATCAAACATCGTCCCCGCCCGACCCCCCTTCGCGTCCCAGCTCCCGTCCGATCAAACACGTCCCCCCGAACTCCCCTGCGTCCCAGCTCCCCCTGCCCGACCCCCCAGCTCCCGCCTGATCAAACACATCCCCCCTGCATCCCACCTCCGCCCGCCCGACCCCCCCAGCTCCTGCCCGATCAAACACATCCCCCCTGCATCCCACCTCCGCCCGCCCGACCCCCCCAGCTCCCGCCCGATCAAACATGTCCCCCCGATCCCCCCTGCGTCCCAGCTCCCCCCGCCCGACCCCCCCAGCTCCCGCCCGATCAAACACGTACCCGCCCGACCCCCCTTGCGTCCCAGCTCCCCCCGCCCGACCCTACCTGACATCCCCCTCCTCCCCCTCTCCGCACTGCCCCGCTCACCTCTGGGCGGGGACGTACTGGCTGGGCAGCGAGTTGCAGCGCACGCCGGCCACGCGCACCGCGACCTCGTGAAACTGCAGCCCCAGGTTCTCACCCTCGACCGTCACCCGCGTGCCGCCCTCCTTGGGCCCCGCCACCGGCACCACCTGGGGGAGCCCAGGGGAGTCAGTGGGGCAAAGACCCCCCGCCTCCGCCCGGGCCCCCAAACCACACAACCCCCCCCAGGTGAGGGGGCAGAGCTGGGGGGTGTCCACAGCAGAGATGGGGCCTGGCCGCAGTTGGGGAGTGGGTTCCAGTGGGGTGGGCACATAGGGCTGGCTGGTCTGGGGGGCCCCCATTACCAGGGCGCTGTGGGGGGCTGTTACCTTGGAGCCCCGGGGAGGGGGCTGTTACTGGGATGCTGCGGTTAGGGGGCAGTTACCTGAGTAACGAGGGGGGAGGCGTTACCCAGGAGATGTGTGTGGGGGGTTACCTGGGTGATGCGAGGGTGGCTGCAGCGAGCCCCGCGCCGGCCGGGGGGCACCCAGTTGAGTTTGGGGGCTGGGCATTGGGCGCGCAGGAGGCAGCGTCGCTCGGCCAGGCACCAGCCGCACTCATAGCGTGGGTCAGAGCGGAGACAGAGCCCACAGCTGGGGCGCTGGGCTGGGCACTTGTATAGCAGGGCTGGGGGGAGAGGGAGGGGTCAGAGACAGGCAGCCCTCCTGCCCCCCACGCCCACCCCCTGCCCTCCACACCCCCTTCCCCGTGACACTCCCCCTGCCCCCCAGCCCCCAACACCCCTCCCCCGGGCACTGCCCTCCCCACCCCCTTCCCCATTACCCAGCCCCCCCTGCCCCCTCAGGGCGCAGCCCCCTGGACCTTTGAAGCCGGGGGGCTGGTCGATGGGGAAGTCGCTGTCCCAGACGACGGAGAAGTCCACAGGCAGCTCCCCAACTGCGTCGCCCTCGTACCAGTACTAGGGGGAGAACGGGGGGTCAGAGCAGGGCAGTGGAGGGGGTGAGGTATAGACAGGGAGGTGAGGCGCATGGAGAGCCACAGGGGAGCAGCCTCGCCCCCCAACCCTGGGGCTGAGCAGGGAGAGAACAACAGAACCACAAAGGGTTAAAAGGAGGTACCAAGGCATCTCCTAGCAACAGAGATGGCAACTGTCATGTCGCCTAGCAACAGAGCATCCCCCCTGCAAGGGGTGAAACATCAAACACATCCTGCCCCCCCCCAGCCCTGCCGGTGCCCCTCACTCCCAACCCGCAGCCCCTGCCCGCCCCCAGCCCCGACCTGCAGCCCAGCTCAGACATTTACAAGCGGTTCCTTAACCCCAGCACGTCCTGGCTGTGGGCCTGCAGCCAGCGGGGAGCTGATGGCTGGGGGGAGGGGAGGGGGTGTCTGGCACTGGGCCCTGGCACAGAGCCCATGGGGTTAGAGACCTCCCAGCCGCCCTTCCCCCTCCCAGCCAGCCAGCTTTCTCCCACCCTCCCAGGGGTCTGGCTGAACCCAGCTTGAATGCCCCTCCCCCATCGCCGGGGCCAGGACACACAGGCTGACCCCCCCCCCCCCACCACACACACAAATGGGTGCTCAGAAGGGGAAGGGGGGGAGGTGCAGGGGGTGTCACCACGGTGCTCTGGCTCCGCATGTGGCTGGGGAGCAAAGGGAGCCGGGCTGGCGGGGTCCAGGCCGGGGGGCTGGCGGAGGGGCAGGGGGGTCCAGGCCGGGGGTTCTTGGGGGCCTAGCGGGGGGGCGGGGGTCCAGGCCAGGGGGCTAGTGGGGGGGCAGGGGGGTCCAGGCCGGGGGTTCTTGGGGGCCTAGCGGGGAGGCAGTGGGTCCAGGCTGGGGGGCTGGCGGGGGGCAGGGGGTCCAGGCCAGGGGCCTAGTGGGGGGCAGGGGGTTCAGGCCGGGGGGCTCACCGAGGTGTTCTGACACTGCACGCTGCTGGAGTTGAAGCGCACGGCTGGGACCCGCTGGCGCCGCCCCTGCACGGCAAAGACGCACTCGTAGTTCTTCTGGCCCGACTGCGGCTGTGGCAGGTTCTTGGCCCGGAGCGTGATCGGCTGCAGCACCCCCACCGGGATCAGGATCTCGCCCGCCGGGAGCAGCTCCGGGCAGCCCTGGGGAGACAGAGTCATGGGGGCCTCGCCTGGGGAGAGCCGGGAGAACCCAGGAGTCCGGGCTCCCAGGCCCCCCCAGCGCCAGGGGATGGAGCTGGAGATGCAGGATCCTGGATCTCTGGGAGCTGCCATGGCAACCGCGGCTGCTTAATTGTTACTTGGTGGGGGAGGGGCTGCTCTTTTTTTGTGGAGGGGACATTGGCAATAAAGGAAAGGAGTCCCCAGAGCCATTTCCTCCCACCCCTGCACCCGCCCCAGCCCTGCCGATGCCCCTCACTCCCGACCCGCAGCCCCTGCTAACCCGGCCTTGGGCTCCCCCCTTGTCAGATGCTGATTATAGGGAAGTGGCTCAGAGACTCCTGACTGGGGGGGGGGGGGGAGGCATGAGGGGGGGCGAGCGACAGCTAGTTTCCCCCTCCCCCCCAGTCCCCCAGGGCCCCCATTGCCTGGCCCTGGGCGTTGTCTGCGGCCGCTACTCCAAACCGCAGCCCCGGCACTATCAATTATCCCGACCACAGGGCATCGCCTGGCGCATCGATCCAGCCGGGGTCCCCCCGCCCCATCGATCCTGCCACAGCCAATTACACTCCATTAGGGGCAGCCAGCCGCATGGTCTGACATCTGCCACCCCTCCCCCTCCACAGCTGGGATCCAGCTCAAAGCGCAGATATGCAGCTGGCTCTGGGGTGGAGCAGGGGCTGTTACCAGGGCCCCCTTGCCTGGTGCCAGGACATGGCCCCTATGGGGTGGGGCCGGCAGACGGTTATCCAGGGACCCCTCGCCCAGTGCCGAGATGTGTCTGGCTCTGGGGTGGGGCAGGGGGCTGGTTACACAGGGACCCACCTCAGCGGTGCTGACCCGCCCCTCGGCAAAAGCGCACTCCCGGGGATCGTGGGTGCAGACGTGCCGATATTTGCACCACTGGCAGGCGAACTGGCTCCTCACGCAGGACAGACACCTGGGGAGGGCAGCAAAGGGTTAATGGGGGGGTGAATCTCTCCCTCCCCCACCCGACTGACCCCCATGCCCCAGATGTCAGAGCCCCCCCCCACCCCTTCCCAGACCCATTGTTCCCCTGCGGCCAGGGACAAAGCTGGCACCACTGCCCCTCCCCCGCCCCCTAGTGTTTACATGGGGGAAAGGGGGGAGGGGATTCTATTACCTGGGCCCCAGCAAGGAGCCATCTGCCCCCCACCGAGCGAGAGACACAGAGAGAGCCCCCTGAGTGCGAGGGGGCTGTGGGTCGGGAGTAAGGGGCAGGGCCGGGGGCTGCGGGTTGGGAGTGAGGGGCAGGGCTGGGAGTGAGGGGCGCCAGCGGGGCCGGGGGCTGCGGGCTGGGAGTGAGGGGCGCCGGCGGGGCCAGGGGCTGCGGGTCGGGAGTGAGGGGCAGGGCTGGGGGCTGCGGATCGGGAGTGAGTGGCGCCGGTGGGGCCGGGGGCTGGTGGGCT